GCTTACCTTCAAAATGAACATCTTTTCAGAAAACCCTATTTATTCAAGCTTGGTTTGGCTGCAGAGGACCCTGGATGGGAGGTGCAGGACTTTGATTTCAGTGTGCTCCAGACTTTCTCATTTTCTCATTTTTACAACAAAACTGTTGTCCAGTTTGTAATCATCATCAACCATTTTCTTAATATTGACAGAGAGCAGCAGAGGTCAGTGGCTGTGGGAGGAACCGAAAAGGGAGAGAGAAAAAAGAGCTTTAAGGAGCCCTTTGCACTGGTCCAGTGTTTGTCAGAGTTGCTTTGGTTTTCAGCAGAACATAATGGAGTGTAACTCAAGAGGGAGTTTATTATCCTCGTTTACCAGAAGCCTTAATACTGTGTTGAATTGTCCCTTTCTAATTACGCTGGTCTTAAAAGTCTGGGCTATATACGTATTTATTTGTTTTTTAAAAAGTGTTTTAGCTGTATATCTTAGAGGAAGTTTCTCGCTCTCCTCCCTTCTTCCCATCCCTAAACAAGAGTCATAGTATTTTTTTTTCTTTTCCACTATTAGGATTGCTGACACGTATAGCACCGTTATGTTCAGCTGAGAGGATGGTGAATCACATTAGATGCTTTCCCAAAATAAAAAAAAAAGTTAAGTTACAAAGAAAATGGAGAGGTCAGTGTTCAATATGTAAAATACTTCCGTATTGTTATTTTTAGTGTCATTTGAGTCTGCTGACTTAAAAAAAAAAAGAAAAAAAAAAAAAGAAACCTTGTGAAACTAATTCGATTATCCAAGGCTCTACACTTGCTTATCTTCAGACTTTTTGATAAGGAAAATAAGGAGTGCCCCAGGTAATAGTTTAACGTTCTTGGTCAAAGTACAGGTGTGCTGTTAGAGAAATTGCTTTCAGTGTTTGGGATCAGAATAAAGGAAGCCTTTGATGTTGGCTCCGCTGGGGTTATTGGGTTTCTTGCTTTGAGACAGTATTCTGTACATCTAAAATATGAGAAAAGAAGCACAGAGAGTAGCCATTAGGACAGGCTACATTCAGAAATTATATTCTGTAATAAATCCTTGGCAGTGTCTTTAAAACATAATGTGAAATTAATACTCTGAAAGCGGTTGTATTAAGAATGCTAAAAAGTGGGATTTTTTTTTCCCAAAGCTTACTTACAGCTCAGGCGGTGGCTTAAAACAAAACAAAAAACCCCCAAACCTGCTGGAATAAAATAACTTGCTGTAGGAGAAACATTTTCGGAGGAGAGACTGTTTTCTTCTTTTTTCCATCATAGTTCAAATACATAATATTTTACAGGCAAATCAAGAGTCTTTCCTTGAGTGTATTACATTTTAAATTAACATTGTCTGGCTGTTCAGCTTTTATCAAAATCACAGCCAAGATGCCAGTTCTGATAATGTGATTTAAAAAAGAAAAAGCAACGCTTGCATGCTTCTTTATATTGAATACGTGGGTCAAAGAGTGAGGGTAAGGGGCCACTGATGTATTTTACTTCATAAGGCAGCGCAGCCCTGTTTTGCCAACCCCTTCTAGGCTTGTGTTCTGTATCCGAAGTATTGTCCTCAAAATCTCCAGGACTGCTTCTTCCGTGGAAAGTGTTTTAGTAAGTCTTGGCATGGTCTGTATTGTTACTGGAATGGATCGGGGAGTTAATCATTCTGCTCCTATTACAATTGTTGAAGCAGATTGTTTTTCCAGTTCCTGTCAGCAGGAGTTTTCTGGCCTTTTTTTTTTTTCTTTTAAAGTCGCACCCACCAACCTATAAAGTTTATGGGCTGAAATATAAGCTCGGTTGTATTTTAAAGTAGAGTTTGGGTGCACCTGAAGGTGGGTTCTACCCCGGTTGCCATTATCGGCCTACTCCATAGTCGCTGTCCTGGGAGAAGACGACAGTGGGTATATACCGTGATACACACCCAACATATGGTGCCTTGTGGGAACGTCTTTGATGCAGGCTTAAGTCATCCATTCAGTTCTGTATTTCAGAGATACTGCCCCATCAGTAACTTGGAAATCGATGTCCATAGTTCATTATGGGCAAACATGGCTGCTGGAGTGTCATAATTCTCAAGTTCTTTGATTCTTAATTTGTAGGTACTGTCCTCATCTTCACTGCAGTGATTCCTGTTAGTTATTAAGTAGTTTGTGGCTTTCGCCACAGTGTGTGTGGGCAGGGGCATTTCACAGTCACCATACAACTTGCGGGATAATTAACAAAAATTGGCAGCCTTAGCCAGAATTTCTCTGAAGCTGGGGTTAATGGGAGTGTACTCAGCTCGGGCAGCTCCACCATTGCCTATTTATTTATTTATTTTCTCTCCCCCCTCCTTCCTTTACTTAATAAAGCTAAAAATACTTGAAATGTGAAGCATTTACTGTGGACAGGCACTGAAAAGCTGCATATGCAGGGAAAGCTCAGTCCTTTAAAATGTTTTGCCTTTCTCTGGGGTTTGCTTTCATGTATGTTGCTTGAAAACAGCGTTTCTGCAATGTTGGGTTTCGTATATGTTTTATTGCTGATACTTAGGCTTTCTCGTTTTAGTACTTGATATAGTTGTTACTGAATATTGTCATTAGGTTTGCTTTTTAAACCACGATAGACAATTAAAACATTTTATAGTAACGCATTGTGCTATTACCGCTTGCTCGTTTGAAAACAATATGAATCACACCTATTTAATGTCAGTCTTATTTTGAAAAGTATCAGTTAAGATTAGGCATATCGTTACAGCATGCTCCCAATATGTAATTTGAGTAATTTTTTGACAGATGTGAAATACTTCTAGTTTTCACATGGTTGTTTGAAGTATACGTGTAGTAATAGAAAATGTTGCCAGATGATTCTATTTCCCCTTAAAAGAACTTTATTTCTGATTATAGGCTTTCAAGATGTGCCTTGTGGGACCTTTGTTTTTTGTACCCTGACAGGCATTTAGGATTTTGTGTGCATACTGACAGATGTTAGACAAATAACAGCAGAATTACTAAATGTTTAAAAAAGCCTGGTTGGGGATCATTATTTAAAAACACAACAGAAACCCATTTTCTCGCAGTTACCAGACTAATATCTGAGAATGGCAAGTTTATTTGCTATGTGAATATGGAGAAGTAATGCGGAATCTTGACTCTCAGGTTCCAGTAATGGCAGGGAAGTGTGGGATTTTCTACATAGAAATCATTGGCTTATTTTGTTTCGATTGTACTAAAAGGGAAAATCAAGTAAGATAGTTGTCTCGGAATACTCTGTGTTGAGGCCTTTGTGTTGTATGCTGTAGCAATTGCTTGGATACCCACGCTCACTTCTCACAGGTGGTAAAACATGTGATGGGTACATAAATCTGCGTACCATGGAAGTCTATGGACCGGGGTGGTAATTACATGCTAGTGGTGTTGGTTATATGTTTTGTGTATGGGAATGAGCTGCAAATGTCCTGGAGAGCGGCTGGGTGTATTTCAATATTCGCAATTAGCAAGAGGATATAAGTGGGTGTGTCGGCTCTGCACATCATTGGGTCAGCACAGCGCCGGAAACCACTTTTATTTTTCTTGGTCTCTTGCAAATTAAAAAGAAAAGAAGGAAGATGACTTGTTTTTACTGAGTTTGGGTAAATAAAAAGCGTAGAGTGCAATAGTATTCATCAGCTATGCTCTTCCAGTAAAGTTTCAGCATGCTTAGCATTAACCTCTGAGCCCTGTAGACTTCAGTAAAGACTACACATATGCTTTAAGTGAAGCCTATGCTTAGTTTTCTCTTGTCTGTGTATCATGAAGTCCAGATCTTACTCCTTTGAAAATCAATTTGGGATTGTTCCTATTAATTTCAATAAGACTTATAGCAGGTTCCTAAAATCTTAGGAAGCGCGGTTAGAAACATTAAGTGAGAAAAGAAAAGAACGAAATTAAATTTAATCTGCCAAGTAATTCAGGCTTCCGAGGGTAGCTGTCAGCTTTTTGTACATACCCCTTGTTGGTGTTCTTTATTTAATAATATTCTCCCCTCTGCCGCCCTGCCCCCCCACCCCCGAGCCCCACATCCCAAATCATGGGAAATTGCATCCTGCTCATACTGAAGGCGGTGACAAAAGGTGTTGGCTCTGATTCTGATGGAATCAGGAGATTTTTGTTTTGCATATTCAGCATCTAAATATGCTGAATATCAAAATACTGAAGGCTAGTAAGTGCTCTTTTTTTTCTTGCATCCATTTTACTGATCCGTGTACCTGCATTGTACTTTAAAGTTTATTTCTACTTGACTGCTTTTAGAGTTTTGCTCTACCTTGAATCTAAACGTCACTTGAGGTCACGGTGCACAAGACAATGAGACTACCAAAACAAAGTCTGAAATTTAAAAATTCATGATGTGTCAGGAACCTTAAAATATGTTTTTAAAGTATGGCGTTTCTAGGAATTTTAATAGTGCATATTGGCAAATCTAATTCATAACAGCTTCTGTGCTCATGGTACGAGTGGGATATTTTTTGTTTGTTTTGACAACTCGTTCTTTACTTGAATTAATATTAGCATTTATTTTTAAAAAAATGTAAATTTTTTTGAGGGCTTATGGTAAATAAGTGACAGCTCTGACCAAATTTACAGCCTAAATAAGAATATAAAATAAAGGTAAATGCCACAGGGGATTAGTCTCATGTTACATGTGCAAGATTGTAAATTAGCTGAATGTCCAACCTGTTATTTTTGGGTCTTATTTTCGTAAATATTGATTAGACTTTTCAGTAGTTCTCATTTTGTTAAAAACTTAAATCACTTTGATGTTTTACAGCGCATAAGGGAAGATTTGTAGGACAAATTCTTTTAAAAGGACATTGTCAAGGGACTTTTCCTACTCATTTAATCTTTGCACTTGTAAGAATCCCCAGAAATGTGAAAATGAAAACTCTCCTTTGCCAGGCTGCTGTCCTCCATTTCATGTGCATATTGGTTTGTCATTATAGGGTTACTGATAAGTGTTGTGCTTTTTGGCATTGATGTATTTTTCAGAAAAAAGAATTGAAGCATTTGTTTTGAAAAAAGAAAAACACATTTAAAGAATTACATGGACTTTGCAAACAGATTTAAGAAAATGAAAGGTAGGTCAAATTTTGGGCCTACAAACCTGACAATGTCCTTTACTTTTGACATGTATGCCTTATTTGAGACATTCCTGATCCTAATGATGTTATATTAATCAGTGGCAGAAAAATGTGAAAATGACATTGTTAATCATTGTTAATCTTAATAGCTTACCTTGTTCATTTTGGTATGTTTTCTAATGTCAGCAAACGGTGACAGCCTACTTTGAGATCTCTATTATTTGTGCAATGGGATCACCTCAGTTACTGGCAGTTTGTAACATAAAAGGTTGTTTTACAAAAGGTTTAAAATAAATTATAACAGCCTAGAGCTTTCTTATCCTCCAGTTGCATGTCAAATGGTATGGGCTTCAACTCTCCCCCTTGGAGCGTGATACACAAAGGTGCACCTTTGTTTCAGGAGTGACAGGAGGTGCAGGTAGAATTTGGGAGGGGGGAGGAAACTAGCCCACTTAGGTAGTTCTTTTTTTCCTTTCAAGTTTAAAAAAAAAATACATCTTGTGCTAAGGTTGGTCTGATTAATTTGTAAGTCCCCATGCTGCCAGAGGTATGGAGGTAATAATTCATGAGCCGTCCTCTCCAGTTTTGGTTACGAAGCTGGGTATAAGTTCATTAATCCTCTGGTTTGCGGGAGCGCCACAATCACTTGAAATGCTTGTGCATGGGGCTGGCCTCCTGTCAGGTTCTGAAGCTGAAAACTGCTTTTTCAATTTCCAAGATTTTTTCCATAGAAGCTGGACTAGAATAAGGTTTTGATACTTTTTTTTTTTTCTTCTAAGAGCAGCTAGTCCAAATGGCAGCTCTGAAAAAGCACTCTTCTGTTAGCCGCATGGTGAATAGCTGCTCCATATGGACAACTGCTCTGTCTGTGTGTGCACATTCTACCTGGTACTATTTTAGAAAAATTCCAGCAGTCGCTGGCACGGTAGCTGTTACTGGGGCAAGAGCTTCACCACCAGATTATTTCCATATTGGAGGAAAAAAAAACCCCAAACTAATAGCTGGATTAGAGCTGTCACGGGAAACTTTTTTCTTTTCCTTAAATACATTTAGATAACCTTAAGGGCCTGACTTACACCCAACAAAACCAGCAAGTTCAGAGTTAAGGCTTCTCACTCCATCTCCAGTACTCGCTGGAGCGCTTGGCTCTCCAGCACGGGTGGTACCGGAGATCGCACGCTATCCTCAGGTCCCTGCTCACCTAGGCAAAACGTTTGCCGCATGAGTGGTGCCCCGACTGTTCCAGGTACGTCTGTTTACAATACACCTGCTGTCCTGCGCAAGGTGCCGTGTGTGTCTTAACAGCCCGCTGGTTTCCCTGGTATGTTAATGGCCGGTGGCAGCACAGCAGGTGTGGTGGAAAGCCAGCAGCGGAAGGGGGAAGGGTACAGATGCAGTGAGAAGCTTTAACTTCGAGTTTCCTGGCTTCTGTGAGCACAAGTCAGACCCTTAATGTTGTTTTAATGTATTGTTTGTGTTTAATTTTTAGTAAAAATTTGAACACCATCCAGGCTACAGAGGTTGCAGTGGATAAGAAGTTTAAAAGCTTTGGTTCAAGATTACAGGAGGCTGCAAGAAAAATTAAAGACATGGAAATGAGGATGGAATGACAGGCTGCTATTTTGCCTCAGAATACTGAAGATTGTAAAGCATTGAGAAATCGAATTCATGACCCTGGAAATCAAGCTCAGATTAAGAAATGTCAGGTTGGTAGGGGTTCCTGAAAGTCTCAAGTTAGGATAAACTGAGATTGTTTTCCCATAACAAAGGTTCTAGGATGTGGGGGTGGATGGTATAATTTTTGTTATCTGTGTTATGTGAAATGCTATACCATATTCTTAAATAAGCCAGCTAAGTGAAATTATATTTTTTAAATTAGTTTCACATTTGTGGTGTTGAATGTCGCTTTTGACCGGTTTACAGTTATTCCTCTCTGGCACCGAGTTGCATGATTTACTGTTAATGCAGGCATGGAAAATACTGCTCTTAAATACACATTGCTTTATCCTGCCACTCCAAGGGTCTGCTGCAAAGCCAAACACATGGTGCAGTACGACATTTCTAGATAAGAAACAGGCAGAACGTATCTAAATGGTGGAAGGAGTAGTTTTTTGTTCAAAGCGTTCTGATTCATAGTGAAACTGTGTCTTTCCAAATGTAAACTTTAAATAGTGACTGCCACTGTGATTAAGTTACTGTAAGTTTACTTAAGTGTTGAGTTATTGTCTGCGATTCAGTGATACGGTATTTAGGCAGAAAGATTGTGCAACAGGAAGTCTATGCTGAAGTTCAGAAAGGATTTTGGCAAGCAAAGGTTTGTAGGGTTTTCGTGGTCAAGGTCACTGGATGCATTTGAGTTCTGGGGACTCTTAACAAAACCTCCCTGAGAGAATCTCAGGCTTTATCTTTCTAGTTGTTTTTCTGACTTTCATTTCTATGCTTTGGAGCTTGTTCTGGCACGCCACTTAGACAGACACAAGTAACTTGGTTGAAATCGATAGATATACTGGCATGAGGGGAAAACCAGACCACACCTTTATGTATTTTAAAGAAATCATTATTTTAAAGGGTTGTGTTTTGTGGTACTGTATTTCACTATTTTCTGAGATAGCTCTAGTCAGAAAAGTGATACTTAAAAGTGACAGCTTTTAATCTCATCCTCTGTTATCTGTTTGGACTGTATGCGCTCTTCTGTTGACAGAGGTGCTTTAGTTGTAGCTCTAAGGGAATCATCTGTGCCACATTTTTCCTCATTCATCTTCAACAACTTTAGTATCAAAGTTCTGTTTTCTTTTTTTAATTTTATTTTAGCTAGGATTCAAACTTGTCATTGAAATCCTGGCTTTGCTGGACTGACAATTAAGACAACGACCATAACATTTCAGTTGTAAAATGAGCACAGTTATTATATTCAATAGGAATAGGACTTGCAATGTCATTTTTATATTTTTTCAAAACATAACTGCATTTTATTAATGCCATTACATATACTGTTTTGAAAGAAACATGAACAAGTCTATAACATGCTTTATTTTAGGGTGTTTCTAAGTATATTTAATGTGGAGTTTTATAATTAAGTTCCCATTAAAGGATAGTAATTATCGTCTGGATAACTATGGAGCATTTAGGTTGTAGTGTTTGTGTCCTGTACCGCATCATTAGTGTGTGGTTCATTTGCTAAAAATGACTGTATGAAGGTTATGTGGCCATTTCTGGTTCAAACAAGTAACAACAGTAAGTTAGCAAGATGCACAATTTTTAAAAAAGGTATTAAAAAGGTTTCCATTTAATTTTGGTGGCTGGATATGAAACACTACTTTACTGAAAGAATCTGTGCATTATTTCTAAGCATGTCTGTTGCAGTAGAGGTTAGGAATTGATGGATTTACAACAGAGAATAGTTTTGATGGGTGTTGTACTTTGCTGGTGAGTAATTTTCACATCTGAATTCCTGTCTGCTGCGGTGACAGTACTGCAGTTCATTGGCATAATCAGTTGTTGGGAGATGCTGGGACTAGAACGGAAAAGAACCATATGTACCTTAGTGACCAAATGCAGAAGGCTTGGTGAGGAACTGTTGTCCTCCTGCCTTGATTCTGAAAGATCTTTTTGCTGTTTGCTGCTGAGTAAGCAATTTAAAGTGTTGTGCAGTAACATTTAAATTAAAGCCAGCTGCAATTTCTAGAAGTTTTGCAGGTAGGGTGCTAGTTGAAACTGTGTGCATATAGGAGAAGTTCCAGTGACCCTTGTTCAGTCATCTTCAAGTATAAAACCTGTTTGAATAGGTAAAGAACTTGAATGGCAGATTGTAGTAGGGCTGGTCTGGCATCCTGACTCGGTTACGGGTGGACACGAAATTTACGGGTGCGGGCTGGACAGTTGAGACTGAGGGTAACGGTCTCCTCAGCTGTACTCCTTCAGCCCCAGACCTGAGCTTGGTCCCAGTGGGGAAGTAATACACTGCTTCTGTTGACTTGTGAAAATCCTTTTTCCCAGCAGTTGTTTTTCTTCACCAGGTATCTTGTACAGCTGGGATTCTACTGATTTTCCATCCATTTGAAATGCAGATGACAGTCTTTCAGGGCTTGCTTTTTGACACAGGCTGGGACATAAGATGCAGGGATTTCTTGTAGAAGGTAGCTGGGGAACCGCAGTCTTTTGCATTAATGTTGGACTAACTTGTATTATCAAGCAATAAGCAATGTTTTTACATTCACACTCCAACAAAAATATGTTGAAATTTGCATACAAGAAATATCTAGCCTGCTTCACTTTGCAGTGTTTAAAACTACTTATATTAAAAGAGGGAAAAAATCATGTACTTAATTCTTGGTTTTGCTTTTCCTTATCTCTTCAGGAAGTCCCTTTTTTCCCACCCACGCTTAACTACTTTTGTGTAAATGTAATGGCTTAATATTCTTCCCTTGAGTACTTTTGTATATTTATAGCATCTATACTGTTAAAAAGATGCTCTCTAAATATCTTATGAGGATTACTTTTCATTTTAAGACTCCATGAAGAGGATATAAATGAAGTCTGCACATTCAATTGATTTTTCCTTCCCCCAGATATTTAACATGTATTTCTTTGTCATTCTACGATGTTCCAAGCATGATGTTGATTTAGGGAGGGACATTTTGTTCATATTTTGTAAGAGTTTTCAATGGTGGATTAAGTATGATGTGTTTGTTTGACTAAGCTATACAGAATTGTTTTGTAAAACTTTTAAGTCTAAGCAGACCTGCATAGATCAGCAATTAGCCTGTACACTTGGATGTTGGATTCAGTAAATTCAGTATTTTGCTGTTGTAGGTTTTTTTAGTTAAATTTTAGTCTCAGCAGATCATCATGTAAATTGATGTAAATTGAATACTCAAATCCTCACTGAGTTGCTTATGATATTCGATAAGCTATACTCTTACAAGCCTGGACAAGATATTTCTCACTCTGTATAGAGCTCACAAAGGTGTGGAATCCAATCAAAACAAACCTTGGATAGATTGCACAGACGCTTCTTAATAGTGCAGTAAGGATGTTGCTTTAAAAAACAAATACACTATTCCCGTAGTGGTTTTATCCATCTTCGATTGTTCAGCCTCCTGAGCCTCCATGGCATGTTTTTTCTTAGGTCTTCTGTGTTTGGTTGATTGCTGACTGTAAACTTGTTCCTGTTTTACTAGCTTCAGTCTTTGAAATCTTTTTCTGCCATCAGAATAAACATTCTAGCTATAACCTATTTTGTTTACTACATTTGCATGGCTTGAATAACAAGTCGTCTTTGTTTCTTCATAGGCATTCGACCTCCGATCATGAATGGGCCCATGCACCCGCGCCCTTTGGTAGCGTTGCTGGATGGCAGGGATTGTACAGTAGAAATGCCTATTCTGAAGGATGTAGCCACAGTGGCATTTTGTGACGCTCAGTCTACACAAGAAATTCACGAAAAGGTAATATTTGGAGATATAATTAAAGTGTGTTAGAAAATGCAAGTATTTTCATGATTAGGAACAGATGCAGTGTTGTGTTAGCTATAACAACGTGTTTAGCTATTGCATTTTAGTTAATGGTTGATTACCTTAGTGAGTGAGTTACTGGTCGTTTCCAATAAGTGATGAAACATGATGATGAAACGAAGATGAAAATGTCTGTGTTGAAGTATCTTTCGTGCAGTGTATCTTCGGCTGGATGTTGTCCATGTGCTTACCTACTGAATTAGATTCATGGAGGGAGTTACCTATGGGAAAATTATATTATTACGTGATGTTTTGAAATGCTTCTTGGAAACGCTGTTGCTCAGCCTTCAGCTGGAAAGCCAAATCTCAGTATTGGGTCGGCCGCGTGAGGAACTTTCAAACTTCTCTGTTTAGTCAAGGAATTGTGCAAATCGGGTTAGGAGGCCTTGTGCACTGAGCATTGACTCTGCAGAAGAGTTTCAAAACAAATGCTAACCCAAAATTTATTTAGAAAATGAATTTTAAAAAGTACTCTAACTGTATGTTACTCCAGAAGTTTGCACCCTTCCTGGTGATTTGGGAGCTGTAAAAGTGGTTCTTAATGTTGTCAAAGGTTTTCTCATTTTCTTGGAGGGATACCCATTTTTTGTGATGATAGCCAAGGGAGCCAGCTGGCCCATATACCTACGTTTTCTTTTCAGAGACTTCTTTCAGCATGAAGGCCTCATGTCTACCCCAAATCCTCGCTGCTCTCTAGACAGCAAGAGAACCTTTTCACATCCATATTTATGTGGAGGTAGAATTAATTTTGGTGAAATTGTGGGCTAGCAGAGAAAGCCTCAAATACCAAGTATTCCTTCACCTAATAAAGGATGAAAACAGCTTCTATGGAGGTAAAAAATGTAATAAATATGACAGCAGAGGAGGGCAATCAGAGGTCCCTTCCAAGGGAGTTTATTTTCTTCTTCTCCAGCAAAGATCAATGATAGACAAGTGCAGATCCAAGTATTAACTTTAAGGCCTGTTAGGTAAGTGTCTGTATCCACTTTTGTGCGTGTGGTACTGTATACTGCTGAGTGTGATTCGGGTGTTAAGGAGTTGTCAGCTGAACTGAATTGCACTAGTATTCTTGTTTCTCTGCAGATACCTTGTTAGACTTGTCCTACACTAATTATAGCAGCCCTTGGGTTTGTGACAGGTTTTCAGAAGCTTTTCACTATTTTGAATTCATAACTGGTTTAATTGTTTATTTACTTTTCATGTTCTTGTAATATATAGCACTGTTAAACATTTTAAAATCTCTGTATATGATGAAAGATTTAATCTTTTCTTTGATGACTTTCTTACAAAGCCAGCTACTTGAAGATAATACAAATGCTAACTTTCCTTCTGTTATCAGGTGAATAAATCTCATTTTCTGTAGTCCATTTCATGTCAGCATCTTCCTGGTGAGAACCCATCAACCAACTATTCAGCTTGTTATTTCTTAAGAAAAATATTTTTATTCTGAAAAAAACATTTTCATTGTTAAAACTTTCCAAACTTGTAAGTGGTAGGGGTGTCTTTCCCCTTGTGTTTTTTTTCTTTTTTAAACAATAGAGAAGACTAAAGAGTTGTATGCTGTATCAACACGGCAAACTAGAGCTGCCGATTCTCACGGTTCAGGCAAACACAAGAGATGACTCCCCTCTCCTGAAGCCCTCTATGTAGTTCCTTGGTGGATATCTCTGCAGACTTTCAGACTTCCTGTCTTACCCTTCTGCCCCGCTCCCCACACGGGAATAAGCTGTTGTCAGAACAGTAGTCAAGAATGATGTTTAAGGTTGTTTTCTGCCACATCAGTACTGGCTTAACGTCACTACTTTGTTTTGTTCAGCTGCGTTTTAGGTACAATAAAAGTCTAACGTGAGTAGGAAAATGAAAAAAAAAAAAAAAAATTGTTCCTACTAGGAAATAATCTGCATTCCAAACACCCTTTTTTTCAGTTCATTAGTTGTTTCTCACAGGATAGTCAAAACTGTTCTTTTTAGATTATTCTTGAATTATAAGCTAGATTCAGAGTTGGCAATATTATAGTTCTGATCTCGTGCCTTTTTTAAAATAGATTTACACTGTCGTATAGAAGACCATCTTTACAGTGGATGGTCAGTGGGACAGCATAAACTCAAAACTTGAACTTATATTTTGATGTGACATTCCGTTTTGAAACAGTAAGGTTTTACCAAAACCTAACGCAAATTTCGACCTTCTCTTTAACACCTGTTGAAAAAGATCAGTGTGTTTTTGCTGTGCATACAACTAAGGCTACTCAATGTTGTGGCGGTGAATGAGGACCTAAAAGTAACTAACTAGAGAACAAATGCAAAGAAGTGAAAACTTGTCTTCATTGGTAATTGGAGATGTATAGAAATGGATAGGTTTTTTTTTTTAAAAAAACCACAAACCAAAAGCTTTCCTTTGTAAGGGTCAAAGACAATAATAATATAAGTATGATACTTTATTTTTTTTTCATTTAGAGAAATATTCAACACAAGCTTTTTTCTCTCAATTCTCTTTTATCTTTTTATATATTGATAATTAAAATGTGATATAATGCTTTATTTATGTCGTCTTCTTAGTCATGTTTAAAAGTTGTTTTAATCTTACTGTTTTCCTATCTCACACCATTGTCAGAAGTTTAATATGTGAAATAGCTGGTTCCCATTTACAAGGACTAAATAACACGTGGAGAATAAGTAATATAAATGCTGTTCCACTTTTTTAGTAGATAATAGCAGTCTTCAGGTGAACACTGTAATATTGGCAACTGCACCACCTGGATAGTCCTCTGCTTTGCTTACTGACATCAACATCAGTTACTTCTGATGCATAGAGATTGGGGAATTCCTGTGTGACACGAATGCCTCGCCTTAGAAACACTCTATTTTCTGTTATCAGTGGGGTGTAGCAAGTTAACTTTTCACATCTTGAGACCGAGAGTCAGTGTGTGTATCTCAAATTGTAGCTTTGGAAAAGCTACAATAATTGAAGCTTAATGAGTAACACAGGTAATCTATTGTTGATCTTCACAAGAGTGTTTGTATTTAGTGGATGTACTAAAGCTTGCATCCTTTGCTTTTTATTATACCAAAAGAATTCGTTCCCAGTGAGCTCAGTAAGATATCTGGAAAATGTATTTTCACTAGCAATCAGTGCATTACCATAATACAAATTTTCACTAGTCCGAAGGGTAATGTAATCCTAAAATATTTGGGTTTGCAAAGTACCACTGTTCTGCCAGGTAATAAATTTCGGCAACAAAAATCACAAGCCTTAATTCATTATCATATTGTTGTATTACCGTAATGTAGACTAAGAGATTAGTTTTACGAAGTGTTGAGCACTGTTCGCTTCCATGTGAAAAGTATTCACTTTTTACTTCCACTGTTCATCTGCAGTGAAAAATGGCTATTTTCCACACATCTTTAGAGTTATAGTACAGAAGTATCTGTATTTTAGTACTGCTTGTATAATACCTTATTTGGGAATGGTGCTTTACTAAATATAAAATTGTTTTCAGGAAAAGTTTTAAAATTAGAAGTTGCATATTTAAAGCAGTATCTAAAATGTTCCTGTATTTACGAATGCACATTCCTGGCCATACTAAATGATGGTGTCCTGTTAATTAAAATACAGATTTTGATAATGGATGTTAATTTGCAAAAGGCTGTTCCCCACTGTGAAAGAAGAGATGGCTGAAAATCAGGAAAAGGTTTAGCGTTGCGAAGAACTTGCTGAAAGCAGAAGGTGAAATTTAGTTTTTCTTTCATACATTTCCTGTCTTTAAGAAGAGATGCTGAATCGAATAGGGTGGCAGGTACAGATACATTTGGATAGTCTGAAGCTGCAAGAGGCACGCCAAAGACTGGGAAATTTAGGGTGGGGTTTGAAAGAGGTGATTGACATTGTCTGATACACATAGATGGGTGGCTGTAGATGAATGTAATGAAAAAAAGACATGAACTGAGAATCGGATGATGAGGAAAGGAGTGAAAGACTACAAAGGGATGGCGAGGAAAGTGAGAGTGGGTATAAACTCGGGTTGTGCAGTTGTGGAGCCTTGATCCACAGGGGTGTGAGGAGTTAGCTTTAGAAGAGTAAACATTTTGGAATCCAGAGAAGGGATTTCTGCTGGTCATGAGCAGGTTTCAGGGGCAGGATGATAGTTTAAAATACTATGTTTTAAGATGGCTAGACAACAAAGGAAATAGAGTGGAAAAGGGGAAATTGTAGTAGTTTGTGAGGCAGGTGCCAGCAAAGCACAATCTAGATTTTTTTTCATAGAGAAGCAAGGAGGCTGAGAGATTTTAATACATACAGAAAGGAGAAGAAATGAGGATTTGAATGCCATTTGTATACAGGGTCAAAAGCAGGATGTTAGCAAATACTATTATACCTTACTATGTATGCTAATTAAAGCAAGTTTTCTCCAAATCGGGTAATGCCCGAGTTGCAGTTCTGCAGCGATTTCCTTATGCCGGAGAGTTCATTTGGCATTCTCTTTTTATGGCTGGGGAAATTAAAGTGTGAAAATAAGTAACTTGTTTAAGGTCGCAAGTATATAATAACTTGTCTTAGAACTCTGCTTCATCTCAGGTCAAAGCATTCATTCCCTGTGCCACTGCTTTGGAAGGCAAGTCAGATGGCGAAGATATGTTTCCTTCCTTTTGAAAATCAGGCTGCCAGTGCTTAAGTGAATACTGACATTTACTGAGAGTGACCCAAAGTTTTGAAATAACTTTGTATTTAGAGGACACTTATTACGCTTCTTCAGAAATTACTCGTGTGGAAGGTTTTACTGATTTCCCCCACCCCCCCTAGAAAAAGTGGCTTGTTTTCAAGCCAGTCTGAAAGGCTGCAATATATATGTTTATGCTTTGACTCCTAAGTTCTGTTTTATTGTAGATGTTGCATATGGCTGTGTGAAGTTGGGCATTACATTTGTCAAACTATAT